AAATAAACAAAAATTCACAAATATATATTTGTCACAACCACAACTTTGCCTAGCATTTATTTGTGAATCGCATCCTGTGCATTTGTAGATAGCTGCACGCATCTGTCCACAGAGCAGCTCATATACATCGACTTGACTGAAAAACTGGGAAATGCTGTTGGCTGTTGTGTGACGGCAATTTAACCTATTACACAAACAAATGTTTATTATGAGGTTGAGTTCAGTTATTTATTAGTCAGTTACTTATTGACACTTTTATTTCCATATTGAATAAATGACGCTTCCATATCGCGTTTGAATACAGTATAGCGTTGTTCCCATATAGCCGTGATGTAAAGCTTTCTCTGGCATTTTCAAAGGCACGTAACATAAAATACTGTGGCTTGGCATGATGCACCGTCTAATGGTCTAACGAAAGGGACGAGACCGCCCTGATTGTAAAGCAAAACGTGATTGGCTATAGCGAGATCGTGCTACGATTGGTCAGCGAATGTGGCTGTTATCTGATTGGCTTGAGTAGACGGTGGGTGGAGTCCACGTATTTGTGGACTGTCAGCACGTCTTGACGCAAGAAATGTTTCACAATTCGCAAATGCACAGGACGCGATTCACAAATAAATGCCAGGCAAAGTTGTGGTTGTGACATAAATATATATTTGTGAATGTTTTTGATTTGCAAATCTCATTTTATTTATTTGTCAATTTAAGATTTATTTGTGGATCTCATTCTATTTATTTGTGGATCATAATCTATTTATTTGGAATTAAGCAACAATTCTACCCCCATACACCTCTCTCGGCGTCTGTTCTGTGCAGTGAGCGGCAGAGAAGCAGCGCATTCAGTTGGCCGCACCGCAGCCGACTCGTCAATAAATGAGTGCAAAACAGCGTTTCCTAGCACCTGTCGCTTACTGATTGTTTGAAATTATAAATATGAGCGTAGTTCATCTGTTAATATCACATGCACTTTTTTTTTTTTTTTTTTTTAGTTTGTTACTCGGACGCAGACAGTGTCTGCCTGAGACAAAGGAAGTTTGCATGAGACAAAGTAACATAGCCAAAACAACTGCACAGCCACTTCTCCATCGATTGCTCTTTGGCCAGGAGGCCAGCTTAAGGAAGAGCCCTGGTTGAACAAATGTTCTTCCATTAAGAAGATAATAGAGGCTACATGCTTTTGTGAGCCTTCAATTTAAAGCAGTTTAACATAAGGCAGCAATGTAAAGTGTGACCCAAAAAACATATGAATACTTTTGCAAGGCACAATTTTATTGCAACATTTATGTGTACAATTGAAATATATAACGTTAAAGCATATAAAAATACAGCGCAGAGTGAAATAATCGGGGAAAAAAACATTGAAGTGTAATTTCTATGTGTAATGCTGAAATACAGCTCATACCTGAAAAAACTAATTATTTCTGAAAGATTTCTTGAACCTGTTTTATGGGGAGTAACCGGTTTCCCCCACAGGTATAATAAGAACGGAGTGGACCTGAATCGCAATTTTCCGGACGCGTTCGAGAGTACTACAGATCGGGAAAGGGAGAAGGAGGTAAGGGCCATGATGGACTGGCTAAAGACGGAAAGCTTTGTCCTCTCTGCCAATCTCCACGGAGGAGCGGTGGTGGCCAGCTATCCCTACGACAACAGCAACGGAGGTCAGTTGCTAATAAAGCCATATCTGTTTTGTTTTTGTTTTATTGATAGAGATTCATGTTCGATTAATGTTAACAGTGTAAAGCTTACTGTATCATATTTGAAATGAAAACTGTTAAGTCCTCTAAATTGTCAATTGCATGAGAATTTTAGTGAAAAGTTGCACACAATGCTTTATAGTTTATAGATTTTCAGCTAGTAAACTATCTGTAACTAACTGCAAAAATAGTGATTTTATCAAGTAAATGTAAGAATAAATTAAGAATGTAATATTGTTATTAATATCAGTAATATTTCAAGATGAACACATAGGAACTTAAACTTACTTGATCATCTGTACATTTGTAGAAAATTGTAAAATATGATGCAGTATGCTTGAGGAATGTTTACTTATCTTATTTTTGGCTATAAATCTCCTCAATTGCACCAAATTCTATGTTTTTGCTTAGTTTGGGCCTCTAAAACTGTAATTTAATGTTAATTTAATTTAATTGTATCTTGTATTTTAATTTAGTATTTTGTTTATAATTTTTTTTAATTTCTCCAATTTGAGCTTTGTTGTATAATCGACCTTATGTAGCTCTGCCCCCTTTTCAGCACTGCACTTGTCTCGTTTTCCGTTTATATTTCTAGATCATGAAGGTTAGGTTGTAGCGAGACATTTGTTATGACATCTGCTTTGAACATTACAATGCTCATGATATTGTGAACTGTACGTTAAGAAAGTCTACTTGATAATCTTTAACAGCGATGCTATAGAGATACCACAAATACAGAATTTGAACGAGAGAATTGTAAAGATGATTGCACACTTGTTTCTCTGGTGCATAAGGTCTGTATATGGTATACGATTAATAAAGGGCTGATGCATGGAATATGAATATCTGTTGTCGGCAATCACATGCAAACTGTCTTAAAATGATTTGTAAATTGTGTACCATTGACAAACTGTTATATCATGTATTTGATTTATTGATTTATTATTACAATGTTATAATTTTTGCCTTTCATATGATAGGCTTTACAGGGTTGAAGGCGTGAATCAATATTGTGAGGTTTTAAAAGCTACATGCATTTATGGTAATTAAGTAGCATTTTTTTTTTTATTGAATTATTATTATTATTATTAGTGTTGAGAACTGTCAGAGCATCTCTGGAGATGAAGTACAGGTAGCATCTCGTATAGCGAGACGGCAGGTGGCAAAACACCATGAGCATCAGGTGCGCACAACCATGGTGCTCATTCACATGTGACCCTGGACCACAAAACCAGTCATAAGGGTCAATGTTTCGAAATTGAGATGTATACATCATCTGAAAGCTGACTAAAGCTTTCCAGTGATGTATGGTTTGTTAGGATAGGACAATATTTGGTCGAGATGCAACGATTTGGAATCTGAGGGTGGGAAAAAAAAAATTAAGTTTGAATATATTTACAGTAGGAAATGTACAAAATATCTTCATAGAACATGACCTTTACTTAATATCCTAATGAGTTTTGGCATAAAAAAATCAATAATTTTGACCCATACAATGTATTTTTGGCTATTGTATACAAATATACCCCAGTGACTTGAGACTGGTTTTGTGGTCCAGGGTCACATATGGCTATGCAGATTTCACATTTAAGTAGCAGTGTTATTTTTATTTAAAGTACAGTAGTCTATCTCTTGATTTGATTCTCCAAACTATACATAATATAAATTATGTATTATTCAAAATCTGTGACTGTGCTACAGTGTAACTATTAAGGCTGGAATCTGTGTGTTTTCTGTATCGCATAAATCGCAGGGTCCTATGAGTGACCAAACAAGTGGAGCCGACATGTTTAAAAAAAATAAAAATAAAAAAAGCGCATGATGTCACTTGATTATCATACGAGGCTACACTCAATTATCCAGCTTTTTTTCCCTGTAAAACTGGTTATATGTAATGTGCCTGGCTTCTGGTGTCATTGGCTTCCAGTTGTTTTTAGCTGTACAAAACCGCTGGTTATGCTGCTTAAAAATGCAAAGTGGAATTTTTTTTTAACCATATTCTTGGAATGTTTTGTCTTCTTGATTGTAAAACACTGGTTTGTAGTGCAAACAGTAGGGCGTCGGCAAGAATGTGGCTATACGTATCACGATACAGGGGTTGCGATACGATATGTTGCGATATATCGCGATACTGTAAGCAAGACTATATATTTGGATATTTCTTGTTTTAAGAAAAGGAGAATAGGATATAATTTGAGGAAAACTGTCATTTAGAACACACCACCATAACACACAGCCACCTAACAAACCATAAATGTATACATCTCAATTGCGAAAAATTTAACCGTAGCAAAAAAACATCCATTTACATACTTAACATCCGGAGCTCATTGGCAAATATCTTGTATCGCAAGATGCACTCCCTTTTTCACAGAGTGCGCGTTATCGCCTAATCGATAGTGAACCGTGCGAGCGCTCATTCAAAAGAGATTTAAATACTCCCTATTGATAGGCGAAAATTCTATGCAATATTAGAATGTTTGCGGGAGCGGGCGGGACTGGATAAACCTTGCAGGAGCGGAACACGCACGTTGTCACCGTTTAAGTTCAGAGGTAAGACGACAGCTATCTAGCGGTCGGGATATAAACCCAAAACCACAGCCATGAATATTGTATACATTTTTTTGTTATTTTTATGTTGATATTGTGTTTTTGAGAATGGATACAGTATCGCCAAACAAAATATCGTAATACTGCGTGTATGATAGGGGTGTAAGAAAATATCGATACACGTGTGATTTATGCACTTTAATATTTGTATTATTTTCCTATAGCAGCTAACGAATTGTAAGTCAGGTCCATTTACGGAAAACGGTTTGCTTCCACATTGCAAAATAAGGTGGATAAAAAGATTAGGGCGGATGGATTATTGTGGCACAATTAGCATATCCTGTTACAGTCACAATGAAATTGCACAAACAGACACCGTACCATCCCTGACCTTTAGCGACGGGACAATCCCACAGCTGACTCACAGGGACAAAGGCACCGTCCACACCCAGCGTTGACACAACAGTCTCTGTAATCCATCCGCAAGCAAACAGTGGGGTCGGAAGCCAATACGCTTTGCCACACCTTTTAAACAACGGGGCAAAAAAGTTGTTTACAAACCGGAGCAGCTAGAGTGTTGTAATACCTCACAGAGATGATGAAATTGTTTACAGTCAAGTTGCGGTTGATGGCTTTTAAGATGGGCCGTGCACCTTTAAAAAGTCATTGCCTTTGCATTGCATTTGCTGGCATAGAATCTCCTTAATGGATGGAAACATTATAGGAAAGGATGTGAACATTTTCCATTTGCTTGCATGATGTGATATTAGGTGGCTGCTTGGAGAAAAGAGGCCACCCCAAATATGAGAAAGTACCTTTTGTTATGAAAAGCTGAAAGTGAAAGATTCCTTTATATATATATATTTTTATTTAATGTAATTTTAAATTTTTTTTGCACAGGGGTGAAAGGAGTAGTGATGGACTCGTTTGGGAAGCCTGTCCAAAACGCTGTAGTGGAGGTAGCAGGGCGAAGAAACGTTTGTCCCTTCAGGACGGATCGTAACGGGGAATACTACAGACTGCTGCTGCCCGGAAACTACACCATCAAAGTAAGATCAGGCCTTCTTGTAGGGAATTTCATAGCTGCTCAAAGTGTTAAAGGGATAGTTGACCCAAAAATTAAAATGTGATGTTTATCCGCTTACCCCCAGGGCATCCAAGATGTAGGTGACTTTGCTTCTTCAGTAGAGCACAAATGATGATTTTGAACTCCAGCCGTTGCAGTCTATCAGTCGTATAATGCATGGCGATGGTGACAAAATGAAAATTACAGAGTCAATCACACTGTTGAAACTGACGACTCCTTAAAGGGATAGTTCACCCAAAAATGACAATCTCATGTTTATCTGCTTACCCCCGGGGCATCCAACATGTAGGTGACTTTGTTTCTTCAGTACAACACAAATGATGATTTTTAACTCCAACCGTTGCAGTCTATCAGTCGTATAATGCATGGCAATAGTAACAAAATCTATGAGAGTAAAAAAAACATGCACAGACAAATCCAAATGAAATCCTGCGGCTCGTGACGACACATTGATGACCTCTAATACACCACTATGTCCAGCTGCCTGAAGTGGAATCAACCATAACTTCAGGCGAGCAGGCTCAGAAGTTGGGAATACGTGGAAAGTCACCACTCCTGAATGAGTTCGCGCGAGATAACGTAATCTTTTAGTTTTAAGTCGGTTTGAACAATCGGGATAAGCGCAAGTAAGTACCATTTTGATTAGCCGTCGTACCTACAATGTTTGTGCTCCGCGTAAATGATGGGTGACGCGCGAGAGATCACTTCCGGCGCATGCGTAAACTACGCCAGGGCGCATACACGCCTCACGCACCGGATGCCTGCGCGCGCTCAAGGCAATTGGACATTGTGGTGTATTAGAGGTAAAAAAAAAAAAATGATATAAATACTGTTCGGTTTCTGGCACAAACCGATCGTTTCGTGTCTTGGGACATCAATGTGTCATCACGAGCCGCAGGGTTTAATTTGGATTTGTCTGTGCATGTATTTTTTTTTTACACTCATAGATTTTGTCACCATCGGCGTGCATTATACGACTGATAGACTGCAACGGTTGGAGTTAAAAATCATCATTTGTGTTGTACTGAAGAAACAAAGTCACCTACATGTTGGATGCCCCGGGGGTAAGCAGATAAACATGAGATTGTCATTTTTGGGTGAACTATCCCTTTAAGGAGTCGTCAGTTTCAACAGTGTGATTGACTCTGTAATTTTCAACAACAGTATGACAAAACAACTGTATATTTAGGAAAAGAGTGATTAGTACTAGCCTAGTTGAACCGTAAGTGTTGGCAGCCTTCTCTGAGCAGCTCGTGTAAGTGGGCTGTTTTCACATCCCTCAGTCCAGGAAATATGGTTCATTGAGGAGAAATGAATCGTTTAGGTGTACATTTGGGGCCTAAGACTTTTAGAGTGGATATTTTTGAGGTTCCTTTTAACTGATAAGCACTTTTACAGAGTAAGGCAGGAATAAATAAAGCAATAGAAACATTATCGTAAAGTAGTATGAGAATGTATGTGTAAGAAGATTGTATTTTTGTTTCAGAGGTGGGTAGTAACGAGTTAATTTACTCGAGTAAATATTTCTATAAGTCCTTTTACTTGAGTTCAGTTTTTGGGTGCTCTACCCACCCGTGTTATTTTTGGGCTTGATTTTTGTGTAGCGTCTTTGCGGCATCTGTTATTTGACCCGCACAAGGATGCACTACATTGTTTGACATTAGTTTATCGTTAACGTTAGTTTGAGTAATAAAATCAAAGTACATGGGTAAAAATGTGTTAAGTGCTAAATAGAAGTCAGCAATACCCTAAATTGCAGCCTTGGCTGTGTTTTTGGGAAGAAAAAACAGGGAACCATGAAAGTGCACACTTTGAGAAAGAAATTCCCGAGCGCCGTTTAATGGTGTGAAGACACAGCATTTCTAAACATTAGACTTTATTTAGGAAGCTTGGAGTGTTTGTAATAGAAATAGAAACAAAATGATAAACAAGAAGAAAAAGTCTACAGGCCAAAATTATTAGCCCTCTGATGTTAGTAGTCAATGGTTTATCCCTTTTTGTCGATGACAGCCTCTAGTCGTTTTTTGTAGTTGTCAAGTTTGAGGCATGTCCGCTAAATACTTGCGGTCCATTCTTCCTTGGCAAATCTCTCAAGCTCCTCCAGATTTGTTGGTCTCCTGGCGTGGACTCTGGTCTTCAGTGAGCCCTACAGATGTTCTATTGGATTCAAGGACGTTCACTTTGCTCATTTGGAGGTAGTTCTTCACCAAAAGCGAGGTGTGCTTTGGGTCGTTATCAGGCTGGAAGACAAAATTAGGTTTTGCTGTAGATTGCCTGAGGTTGTCTGTCAAAGTCTTGTCGTAGTGTTCCTTTTTCCGAGAAACGCACTGAAACATCCCCGTAACATTATACCCCCACTGCCATGTTTCACTGTGGGAATGGTGTTCTTTGGGTCGAGAGCCTCTCCAAAGATAGGCAACATGTCTACGGCCAAACAGCTGTGGTTTTGTCTCATCTGACCAAAGGACAAGTTTCCGGTATGCATACTCTTTTGTTGTCATTTAGACTTCAGTGTAGCTTGGAGGTGTCTCTTCAAGTGTTTTTTTTTTTTTTTTTCTTGGTCCGCAACCTCGCAGTCCATTGTTGTGTGGGCCTCTACCAGTGGTGGAAAGAGTACTGAAAAAATATACTGGAGTAAAAGTACCATTACCTTCCAAAAAAAGTACTCGAGTAAGAGTAAAAGAGTAGGCTATTTAAAAGTACTCATGAGTAGCGAGTACTGAGCTGTGGATTCTACCCCCCTCATAATAAGCGCTGTACAGCGCAATTTATATATTTTAAAAACGTTGTACATTTTGTAATTCACATTATCTTGTTTGTCATAAAGAATGACGAGTATCTATCATCCAGCAGTTTTAATTTTGACTGCCAACTCTTTAAAATACATCAAAACGGCACAGAAACAGTATTCAGTGAAAGAAAAGTGAAAGTTATTCTCAGTACAATCATCCCCATGTAATTTAAAAAAATGTGTAAGGCCACTGAGACTGCATATGCTGTTGTTGCACATAAAATATTAATGTTTAGAACAGTGCAAATACAAACACCATTAGAAACTCATAGTTCAGCATCACACACCATGATATGGGTTACAATGAGAGCCCATTTTTCTCAAACGGTGCCAGTTTGAGCGTTTTGCAATAAAGAAATAAGAATAAGTCAACTTGATAATGTTTGAATTTTAACATAAATGCACATTGTTGAAGGATGACAAATTCATACCATACCTTTTACACATTTACTCATTGTTATGCTGATAATACAATTTGTAAGGAAAAATGCATTAAATAGCGAGGTATTTCTGGGGAAACTTTTTCAAAGGAAAACACACACACGTCTCTTTGACGGTGCCAGTTTGAGCGTTTTGCAATAAAGAAATAAGAATAAGTAAACTTGATAATGTTTGAATTTTAACATAAATGCACATTGTTGAAGGATGACAAATTCATACCATACCTTTTACACATTTACTCATTGTTATGCTGATAATACAATTTGTAAGGAAAAATGCATTAAATAGCGAGGTATTTCTGGGGAAACTTTTTCAAAGGAAAACACACACACGTCTCTTTGCTGAGCCGCGGCGGTCTCGGTGAATCAGCAGCATCCACAACTATTGTTAGTAAAAATTGTTTATGCGGGAGTGCACTTGCTAAATGAAGGCGGATTGTACAAAATGGGGGGGAAAATTTTTTTATTAACGAGCTGCAGTTTTATTACATCACGTGCTGGCACAGATGCAGTATATTAACGCCACGGGTCATCAATAAGGTGCAGATTTGGTCCTCTATTTGTGATTCCAACACACTTTTTCACAGCACGCATCACGCGCTCAAACTCATCAAAAGTCAACAAGTTCAACAAGCAACAACGACTCCAAGTGACCGCTGCAGAACGCACGCGAGACCGAGACGAGGCAGCGCAGATCACGCGTCTCATAGGTGAGTGGGGAATTTACCGAACGTGGCACTTGCGGGAGTTAACACTGTATGCAATACCCGCAACCTCACACCAAATTTCAGGCCGTGTAGCTATCATTTAGTAAGCAGAAATCCGAAACTTACCTTAACATATGCGACTGAATCGATGCTTGAAGAATGCACTTCCAGCAGCCATAATAAACAGTTGGCGGTTAAAGTTTTCTATGCACAATTTGATTGGACGAAAGTCACGAGACTTATTACTCTCTATCCAATCACGTTGATGGATAAAAATAAAATTAAAAGCATGTAACGACCACAAACGGATGAAAATAGCGGAGTAAAAGTGCCGATACATCACTTAACATGTACTCAAGTAAAAGTCCAGAATTTGTAAACTACTCCAAAAAGTACAATTACTGATAAAAACTACTTAATTACTGTAACGTGAGTATTTGTAATTGGTTACTTCACACCCCTGGCCTAATGGCCTAGCTAAATGATTACTGCGGTCAAGCCAGGTTTTTTTGTCTTGCGCGTGTAATTGTGCACTTACGGTACTGGTACTGAGAGCAGTCAAAATGCATGTAAAGAAGCTTTCATACCCACGTTTCCTTAATAATTTGCTTATATTAACTTTTCTTTTTAGTTTGTAAATACATAAACATTTGTATTGTACATTAATTATTATAAATAATTTATTAATGTTTATAAATGTTAATATTAATGTTTTATTTTCATAATTTTTTTTATTTAATGTCTGTGTGTGTGTGTGTGTGTGTGTGTGTGTGTGTGTGTGTGT